TACAGTCTTATCAGCATAACCCAGCATGATGAATATACAGTCTTATCAACATAACCTATAATGATGAATATACAGTCTTATCAACATAACCTATAATGAGGAATATACAGTCTTATCAACATAACCTATAATGATGAATATACAGTCTTATCAACATAACCTATAATGAGGAATATACAGTCTTATCAACATAACCTATAATGAGGAATATACAGTCTTATCAACATAACCTATAATGATGAATATACAGTCTTATCAACATAACCTATAATGAGGAATATACAGTCTTATCAACATAACCTATAATGAGGAATATACAGTCTTATCAACATAACCTATAATGATGAATATACAATTTATTCATCATTATAGGTTATGTCAATAAGACTTACATTGTATATTTATCATTATAGGTTATGTCAATAAGACTTACATTGTATATTCATCATTATGGGTTATGTCAATAAGACTTACTACAATGTAAGTCTTATTGACATAACCTATATTGATGAATATACAATGTAAGTCTTATTGACATAACCTACAATGATGAATATACAATGTAAGTTTTATTGACATAACCTATAATGATGAATATACAATGTAAGTCTTATTGGCATAACCCATAATGATGAATATACAATGTAAGTCTTATCAACATAACCTATAATGATGAATATACAGTGTAAGTCTTATTGACATAACCTGTAATGATGAATTTACAATGTAAGTTTTATTGACATAACCAATAATGATGAATATACAATGTAAGTCTTATCAACATAACCTATAATGATGAATATACAGTGTAAGTCTTATTGGCATAACCCATAATGAAGAATATTCAATGTAAGTCTTATTCACATAACCAATAATGATGAATATACAGTGTAAGTCTTATTGACATAACCCATCATGACAAATCCTCAGCATCTGTTTATTGTTAAGTGATTTTATATGATTTATTATTTCATACTGATTTCTTGTAACTAACTATTCATAGTAGAAACTCATGATAATGAACTAATATTTTAATAACACCATAATAATTTACTTTTAACATTAGTATCCCAACACTGTCCATTCACAACAAACAAAAGAAAAATTACTTTAATGATATAGAGACGGTGCCAAGACTGATAGAGCTGGACAATTAATTTAATTAACTGATTATCCATGAGCATCGATTATTTCAAGTAGTGTCACATAAAATAACTGATTAATCAAAATTACAATGAAATTAATTAATAGCATAAAAACGATCATAACCAGTGTATTCCAACTATCCAAGTAATCAAAATATTGCCATTATTATTATTTTTCATTAATTCAAGGTTGTCCAGCTCAATCAGTTCTTGGCACAACTCACGACAATAATAACTAATCACAATTAATGTGTCCAATTATCATTATTTCCAATTATTCCAACTATTAAAGTCTTATTGGAAGGTAATCAGCGAGTGGAACATAATCGATTCCTAAATTGAAACAGCTGCTCAGTTATCTTTGATTGGTCACATTAAACACTATAGAACTACAAATAAAAACATTATATTCAGACTGTAAATCATGAAAGACATGTTACATCCTTTAGTTGACAAAGAACAATTTACCTCCATTCTTTAAACTGACATCCTCAGCCTTCCTGGAACTTTCTTTACCTGAATGTTTTGGAGACAATAATGGGCTGTTGGTATCATGTCTTTCTTTAAGTCTAGGGGGAGACTGGTCACTACCAGAACCGTGTCTTGGCTTTGTCCTGGACTGAGAAGTTTCACTACTTCTCTGTTTTTCAAAATTCTCCTCATTAATATTTTTTCCTTTTTTGTTTCTTTTACTGATCTTATTCTCACTCTCTAAAATCTGTCTTTTTTTGTTCTGCGTCACTTCTGGTACCCGAGAAAGTGACTGATCACTATCAGAGTCGTGCCTTCTTCTAGTCTGTGAACTCGATCTAGGTGGTGACTGATCACAATCAGAATTACGTCTTATTTTAGACTGTACACTCAATCGTGGTGGAGACTGATCACTATCAGAGTCGTGTCTTCTTTTAGTCTGTGTACTGGTTGGTCGTGATGATGGCTTATCACTATCTAAGCTACTTCTGTTAGACTGACCAATGCTTCTAACTTTGGATGGAGATGAATGTTCAGATCTGACAGTTTCTTTTTGTTTGATGGTGGCAGAGGATTTTACTTCCACACTTTCTAATGGCTGATAGATATCTGAAATATTAAAAATTTTGGATTTACTAGTGTTTGGTAGTCCATCTCATCAGTCAAATCTGATGTTTGAATAACTCAGATTCTGTGAAACTTTTTTAAGGGTTCAAATTTTTCAACATTACAACTTGGATGAAAAACTTGAAGACAATCATCTACAAATCCCCTCACAAATTAATGATGGTGAGCCATACTGTCAGTCAGACTAACTAAACCCCTCACAAATTAATGATGGTAAGCCATTGCAAAAACTGTTACAGTTGGCAAGTCTATTGTTTTGATTGCAGCTTGCTAACTGCTAGTGAAGATATGAAGTTCTACATATATTGTACGTCTCAAGGTAGCAAAATTTAATATTCTATACAGTTAATATAATGAGCAACATAATTCTACAAACAAAGTATAAACTACACAACAATTAGTTTCCAAAATATAGATATTTTCATATTTAAAAAAATCAGCAATATTATAAAATTTTATACTCACTACAACTCTAAGCAACATTAAAATATTTACATTTTTTAATCCTTTGTAAAAAACTGAGAAAGAAAAATCTGGTATAGCAAAATTAATAAGCTTTTTTGATGTTGAGAAAGAAATAATTCAGACAGCTTTAGCCAGTAAGGAAAAATGCATACCCATATACTGACACTTTCACTATATAATTAAAACTTGGATACTTTGATAAGTGTCACATGTCAATAATAGAAACAATTATAGTGTAATATACACTGACGTAAGAAGTAAATGCTGACCATATTTTACAAGCTATAAAATCGTTTTTTTCTTACAAAATTCATTGATAATAACATGAGCTCAACAAAGGATTCTTTAATAATGAAATTAGATCAAAACTTTTTGGATTGTGTTAGGATTTCTTTAAAATCTTATATGGGTAAGATGATGATATTTTGTCCTTCATAAAAGCTGATCATGATGTAAGAAAAACTTTGTACAAAAAAGTTTATCTATATTCATCTTATTAGAGTCTAATATATACCTCCTGTGGACCCTACAATTTTCCATTGAGAACTTTTAAAAAAGTCATTCCTTTTGAGACTTTCAGGTCTGTCATCGATGATCTCAGCTACAACAGGTGCATCTTCTTTTTCTTCCTCACCTGACTCATTCTCCTTTGAAATAAGACTTTTTAGATCAATGTCATCATCCAAAATACGGGTTCTAGACAAAAAAAAAAATATAAAAAATTGTGGATGTACGAAGACAGCTAGAAGTTCAAAGATGATTAAACCTAAGTAAACAGCCAATCAGTTTTCTGTTCAACAAAAGGTGTTATGAATAAATGCTACTGCTATAGTACACTTAAATAACTACTAAACAATAAATATGTTTTTCACTCCCTCTATGATAAAGGATTTAAAATTTAGTAGCACAGAAGTTTGTTGCAATTTAAGTTGAAAGGTTTATAAAATTTGTTAATACCAGGCATTTACTAACTTTAAATCTTATAATATGTTTAAGTGTGATTTAGTTTTATCAGTATACATTTTAAAGTTAAGTTGAATAGATGCAAAAATTAAAAGATCATTTCAATATGTAAAATTTCAAACCACCGATCCAGTTATCTTACAAAAAGGGTAAAGGAAACTCCTATGAACAGAGTAAAAATGAGAATAAGTTCCTATATATGAGTATTCTAGTGCAATTTAAGCTGATGAGAAAAAAAAAAGCTTTTAAACTTCTTGTATGAAATCTATAATATGGAAAGATTGATATATTTCTGCTTCATACATTTACATTTTCAATTAGTGTGTTGAAATTTCAAATACTTGAAAAAATTAACTTATTTGTTAGTTCAATATATATAAGTTCTATATTTATATAATTGAATAAAATCACAAGATTAAAAGAAAAATTCTAACACAAGAAAAATCATGATCATTTGTTGCCATAGCTTGAATATCATAACACTTACAAGTCACAAGCTTACAGTGAATCTCTCAAACTTTCTCAACACAACAAAGTTCAAAGCAGTACTTTCACATATAAAATAAATCTTAACTGGCAGAATATATTGTAATGACTTATGAGAAAAATTAAGTTTTACACAGTTATATATATTAAGACATCATAAAGTGACTACTAATATTCAGTTAGTTATATGCACTATTGAGTTTATTTTAAGATGATATTGTTCCATACATTTTGAAAATGGAATTAAATTGATTGCTCTGAAAAGACAATATTAAAGCCTAATTTAAATCAAGATAATTCTTTAATACTTTTGAAGTAAGATTATAACCTTTTTTTTACCTGATTAAGAAAGCACATTATGCTAATATAATAACAGGTAGGCAAATAACGATTTATAAGCATAGGAAAAGTTTTATTGATGGTGGAACATACTACATGTTTCAACAAGATATTGGTCTGTTTTCCTCAGTTGCACTACTACTACTAGAACTAGACACTTAGCACTAGACGTTTAAAGTTAAACTCTGGAACTGTGAAATTCATAACGTAAGTTGGTTACCATTAATAATACTAATACTACTACTAGTTTCAACTGGTTTCTCACAAACTTCCAACGTTATAAATAATCCTCAACAATGACTAATTACTAATACTACTACTAATATATATATATATATATATATATATACTCTGTACTGGTCGTAGGCCTAACCGCATTCAGCTCAATTTAACTTTTAAGGTAAATGCGGTGCATCTTCGTCAATTTATTAATAGTCCTATGGAACACTTACCCTTAACCAGTCTCTACTAGTATATTAGAATGTACCTTGGAAACTTTGATGCAACTTCGGCTTTCTTCTTTTTCTTTTTTGTTTTCTTCTTATCAGATCCAATATTCAGATATTTTTTAAGATACTCCTTCTGACTAATTTGTGCTGCCATCTTGAAATAAAGAAAGCACTCTCGCGGGTGAGAAATTTAATACTTTTTTATTTTCTTTTATTTATTTTGTATTTATAATATTAACACATTATTGATAATACTTCTTTTATGCAGGGAGCCAATGAAATAAAAACTCAGTGGTTGGCTCTTTATTTATTTAATAGTTTGAGTTCAATTTAGAGGATGGTTCAGCCTAGATGGACTAACAGGTCCCTAGTTGTTCTTCAACATTATATTATGTTAAAGTGTAACAGAAAAGTGCAACTATACTATTGTCAAGATTTGATTACACAAGACATACTTTAAAAGCTGTAGGGGAAAATCCACTTGCTTTTTAAAGGTTGTGTTGCATCTTGATTTGTGTTCTGGTTAATAAGTTACAGAAGAATTTTTTTAAGTTTTCGAAAGAAACCATTACTCTTCTGAGAAAACGTTCAACAAAGATCATTAACAAATACATAATTAATAATAATATCAAACAGGCTACTACCATATCGTTGTTAAACCTGCCGTATCCTTGTGACACTTGGATCATGGTAGTAAATAACTAGTCAGAATGAGAACCTGGGGTATAAGTCAGCCTTTTTAAGTGAAATGGGTGAACACATACACTAAACCATAAATAACATTTTATTCATAGGTCAGCGTATAACAAAAAAAGTGAATTTATGAATGAAATGTCTAGGGAATATAGCGATAGGAATTTGTGTAAGGAACAGAACTGGTTCTTACTTCAATGTTGGAAAAATAACCAAACTGAAATTAAAAAACGAAAAAAAAGTATGATTAAGTCAAATAAAAAGAAAGACACAGTAATTTAAAATTATATTGCCTAGTTTAACGAATGCAGAGCGAATTAGGAGTGTAAGCATTTTGAAGTGATTGAATAGTGTCAGATCTATTTTGAATACCCCAGTTTTCTAGCGTATGCCCCCCACCCCCACCCCAAAAAAAAGAGAAAATGAAAAATGTAAGGGAGCATTTGAAAAAAAAGATTCTTACAATGCCTCAAATGAATGTCCTACACAATGACAAGCTAAAGCCATATGTCAGTGATGAACCTCTACTGAACTAGCTAGATTAAGAATCAGAGGATATTGAATATTGTATAATACTTCAGCTCAGGGAGTGAGATAGAAGATACCAAGAGCACTTATCTGTTTGGGACACAGCTGAAGAAGCTCCAATAGAGGAACCGTGTGACAACTTTAATAATTGGCTGATACAACCTCCAGTATAACATAACTAGGGATAATTTTCATACCAGCAGTCAGGATGGTCACTTGATGGTAAGATCGATGATTGAAAAGAAGTGGTATTCCATGCTTTCTGAGCTATCAAGTGGAATTTCGCAATGGAATATATGCACTATATCATGCAATACAAAAAGTGGTATTCCATGCTTTCTGAGCTATCAATTGGAATTTCGCAATGGAATATATGCACTATATCATGTAATAACCATTTGAGTATTACAATGTTTGAATAGTTTCCTATCTCAAGATTAATGGAGCCAAAAGAGTTTTGAGATTTTTACTTGTAAACTATGGAGAGAGTTTCATTGCGAGATATCTGTGCAACAGTGGGTGACAGATGTTTGATTATCATACAGTTAGACATTATCATACAGTTAGTAGATGTGATGGCTAAAACATCAATGTTTTGCGTGATAGAAGATGCTTGTTAGCCCAAGAGTTTGAAAACTAAGGTAAAAGGGCATTGCAACCCTTATCTTCCGAGCTATCAAGCGATTTTCATTGGTGACATGTTTGTAAGACATATTGTAATTTCTCTCACTATTTAGCTCAGTAGTAGTGGAGCAATCTACAAGATGGTTACTAAGCAAACAGCGAGGATTACTAATGCCATTAATTTAATACCTAAAACATTTATACGAATTTTATAGTTGGCAAGACTGAAAATCATCACCAGGATTTTTAATACGTCTTTCGTCTGAAAGTCCTTCGGGCGAGAAACGATCTGTATTTGTCTGTAAGTGACTGTGAAGTTTACAAAATCACTACACACAAGTATATACGATTTCCACATGTGTTGTGTTCTTAATCATCAAAGACTGTGAATTAAGGTTGGTTCTTATCTGAGTAGAAAAGTCCTGGTTTCCCTGGATTTTGTTTGTGTTTATTTTTCCGTAGTGCTGACTGTATGGATGGTTTGAATCATGATTATCGCTGTAGAATTTTTAGTTAAAAGTCTTGATTTGTGAATTCTACCAACAATTATTTATTCCTTGAAGCTGGCATGGTGTGATACGTTAACTGTCTCCTAGATGGCAGCATATTACAGTACTGTGGCTATCCAAACGTATCATAAGTAAATTCTTTGACTACTGAAGTAATTGTGGAGAAATCAGAGGCTACCTTTCTAACACTACGATTATATATGATAATAAATAATGTTCGGATGTAAATATATGGCAACATATGTGTATGTAAATACATATCTGTGTGTGGTGGTGTGCTTGTAGACGAGCAGAACAGAAAATCATTTATGAGTTATATATTCCACTCTGTAATTTGCCAACGGTACCTACATGGGATACACCTATCCCCGTAACTCAATTTACTGCAGCATATTAGGCAGCTCAGGAGCCTTGCTGACTCTCCAGGCTATAAGGGCATCGTAGTAGCCTTGTGGAATACTTAGTCCGTTGGTATGGTTGCACTTTGGTACTGCAGGCTGTTCACTGCATCTCCCTTCATCTCCAGACGTCTGGGCTTTGTCTTGCTATTTTAATAAGATGAAGCAGGACAAGAGAGTGAGACAGGTTCTGTACAACCCTCCCTCACTTTAGTCTCCAGACGTCGTGGGCTTCGTCTTATTATTTTAATAAGATGGATCAGGACAAGAGAGTGAGACAGGTTCTGTACAACCCTCCCTCACTTTAGTCTCCAGACGTCTGGGCTTCGTCTTATTATTTTAATAAGATGGATCAGGACAAGAGAGTGAGACAGGTTCTGT